CGCATGGGTCTCACCGAATACCAGGCCGTCAAGGAGATGTACGACGGCATCACCGAGCTGATCAAGCTCGAGAAGAGCTTGTAAGCTGTCCAACCAACCAACCAACCAACCGCATGGACTACGCCCTGGGGCACAACAACAACAACCGAAGTCCCCCACACAACATCAAACGGCGGTGTCCATTTAATCCAGTTGGAAATCTGCAGCTCGCAACGTCCTAAAACGTTCCGGCTGTGTTTGCTTTAGTTTGTAGTAGGATTTGTAGCGCTGCGGAGCGGCAACCAAACCAATCCGGCTGCCTGCGGCACTCGGCATTTGTCGTTCTCTACTTGGACTCGGAGGGTCGCGGCCAGCTCCGGCTCCGGAATACCAGGCTCTGCTGCTGCTCTAATAACCACCAAAATCAACAACAACAACAACAACAACACCAAACTGCATACTACCACCCACAACAACAACAACAACAACAACAATGGAAAACTATTTCACAAAATATTTGCTTAAATTATAAACAAAAGAATGTAAAACATTTTGGCATTTGTGTCAAGCAAAAAAACAACCAACAACAAAAAAAACTTTAAATACTTTTATTTTAAGTCTTAAGTTTATAAAAGAATTAAAATTATAAAAAAAAATAATAAAAAAAATAAAAAAAATAGTGTGTTTAAGTTAGAGACAAAAAAAAAACAAAAGAAAAAAGTCTAGATAAGTTAAATTTCAAATTGTTTCAACAAAATGTAAATACGCGTTTTAAGGACTTTGGAAAATCCTCCAAGCAACAGGATGTATTTATGTAGGTATGTGCGTATGCTGTGTATATATATATATATGTATATTTGTATATTTGAAACCGATCGGAAAATAAGCATAGATTTTATAGACGAAGTCATTTTAGATGAGGCAGGAGCCAAAATCCACTCTTTTATGTTTTATATAATTATAAGCATTATATATATATATATATATATATGTATGTATGTATGTATGTATGTATGTGTGTGTGGACGTGTATGTATGTGTGCATTTATGTATATATGTATGCGTGCATGTCTGTTTTCTAATGCCAAACGCAGACTTAGCTTATTTGTCGTTATGCTGCAAATTTAAATAAAACGAATTTTTTCCAGGTGCTGTCCTCCTCGATTCTCAAAAGTTCAAGTAGGCCCTGCTTAAATTCACCAAGGCAGCAAACGCTGGCTCCGACGGCCTGGAGGAGCAACTGTGGAGGAGGCGGCGGAGCAGGAGGCGGCGGCGCAGGAGGAGGTGGGCGGGTAAGTAGATATGTAGGTAGATGTAGATGTATGTAGGTAGATGTATGTATATATGTATGTATATGTATGTATATATGTATGTATATGTATGTATATATGTATGTATATATGTATGTAGGTAGGTAGGTATGTATGTATGTATGTATGTATGTATGTAGGTAGGTAGGTATGTATGTATGTATGTATGTATGTATATATGTATATATGTATATATGTATATATGTATGTATGTATATGTATGTATATATGTATGTATATATGTATGTATATATGTATGTATGTATGTATGTATGTATGTATGTATGTATGTATGTATGTATGTATGTGCGTGCTGCATTATGTATATGATATTATAGGCCGATTTTAAGGGAATTTCGGTATGTTAGCAGCAAAACGAAGCTTGAAGCTGAAGCTAATTGTTTTTCCAACGTGAGTTAGTCAGTGGCAGCTATGTATATGATGATATAGCAGTCCGATGCTGGTCAACTCGAGCTGCAAGTCTTTTTAATATACACTATTTATTATGCTGGCTTACATCATTTGACAATCGCAGCTGGGGGAAAAAAAAGGGGTATTGGTAACAAATAAAAGATATATTATTTTTGAGAGCCTGCCTGGCACTCGGCATCGATCAGGGCGGTGATGCCCTTGTGCATCTCCATGACGACCTGGTACTCGGTGAGGCCCAAGCGCCGCTTGTTGGAGATGTCATAGACGCCGTCCTTGGCCTCGGAGTGCTCGCCGCTGGTGCCGCGCACCTGGAGATTGTGCTTCTTGGCGACCTCCTCGAGCTTGGCCTTGTCGGCGCCCAGATTGGGCAGTTTGATGTGCACAGAGGCGCGTATGGTGGTGCCCAGATTGCTGGGGCAGAACGTCAGATAGCCGAGGCGCTTGTCGTGACTGAATTTGAGGGAATGCGCCAGCGACTCGACGCCAATGATCATGCGCTCGTAGGCTCGGCCCAGGTCGCCGCCCTTCTCCATGGATATGACACGTATGTGATCCTCCTCGTTGACCCACACGATAAACGTGCGATTCTGATTGATGAATATGCCGCGTCCAGTCGGCCAGAACCGTGAGGCATTCGCATCCTGCAGAAAGCGATCGCCTTCCTTGAAGAGCAGATGGTCATCGATGAGCTGCTGTTGTTCCTCCTTCTCCATGCAGCTGAGCGCCATGAATTTGCCCGAGTGCTCGTTGCATAGCGTTTTCAGCACCTTGTTGATCATGCACTCGAGATGGCGATAATCCTTTTTGGTCAGGCAGGGATTGAATGGGAAATCCTTAATGGAACGAGCGCAACGGATGCGCGTCGATACAATGAAACGTTGCTCGGGATCGAGATTGGGAAAATCGGAACCGTAGCCAAAACAGGTTGCCGGATGCTTATCAGCTCCTTTGAAGCCCATGTGATAATCATCGATAATCGGATCGAAGAGTTCCGCAAACGTGGAATATGCCTCCGGATCGGGCGCATAGATGCCGACGCCCGAATCGTGATTGCACAGCCCAGACTGGATGCAGTCCAACAGTGTGGAGCAATACGAGGGCGTCACCCGGGTCTTGATCTTATCGAAAATCTCCTGGGTCAAATGCTTTTTCAACAGCGATTGCGATTTGGATTGGGCCAATGTCTCGAAGCCCGACTCCAATATCTCGATAATTTCACAGGGGGCTCGGCTGTAATTTCTGATTGGAATTTTCTTGAATATACCGCGGGCCAAACGAACCGACATCATAATTTTCAATAACTGCAAAAAATTTTGAAAACGAAAAATTTCTTTGCTGTTAATTTTGTTCGAGAATGCAAAGTGTGTAAAATATTCCAAACGATGCGGCAAACAACAACTCGTATCTGACAGCTTGGGCAAGTTGACGAAATTTCTGTTTTGTGTTTCATATTCCAATGAAGTTTCATTATTATTATTTTAATATTATTAACAATCTAACAAGAAGAGAACAAACAAAATCTTGGCAAGGCGAATGAACTGAACGTTAACGGGACTTTCTTTCATTCCTTTGAACAAATGAACTAAATGAACGAGAACAATGCACGCGGCTGAATATGAAGAAAAAAATAATGGTATTTTTTTTTGAGCAGTTGGTTTTTTAATAATGGGAATTATACCTAGATACTTTGTACATTTAAATGAGTAAATTGCATTGCAAACATTTTATAATTTGCATATGTTTTTCCATAAAACGCAGAAATTATAAAATAGGTGCACAAACAATTTAAATATTCTATAAGTCTTTCTTGTTGCCCGCATTCAAATGCAATTTCGTTTTTAAATAATGGGACTTGTTCGACTTGTTCATTTGAACAAACGAACCGAATGAACGAGCTGGTTACGTTCGTTCAGTCGTTCGCACGAACTAACTCTGAACATTGCGAGACGAAAACACGAAGCCAGCTATTTAGAATGGTGCAGGTGTGGTTTATGGACAGCGAGGACAGCGATCAGCGGCTGGAGCACAAACGCAATCCACCCATCTACTTGGATCTGGCAACGCTGTACAAGAAAACCGGCGTGGAGTACTTTCGGGTAAGCCAAATCGCGCAACGACCTTGACAAAGTCGCGCTTATCTTCACGTTGTTTTTTTTTTCCGCCTTTTGTGCAGATCAATGCCGACGACCATGAGAACGATGAGCTGCTGAAAGAACTGCGCAGCAAGCGTGGCTACACCTACGAGGATCAGGTATGTTCAGCCGCTGCAAAGCATTAATATGTACTAATTTGTTGGTTTGGCCGCAGATCACCTGCTCCGAGCAGTGCCTGCCGGATTATCTGAACAAGCTGAAGGCCTTCTACACGGAACACTTGCACACGGATGAGGAAATTCGCTTGGTTCTCGATGGCTCCGGTTATTTCGATGTGCGCGAGTGAGTACACATATTGTGCTGCCAGTGTTACCCTTCACAATTATGGACTAAACCTGTAACAGTTGCTCTCCAGGATGAACTTTAATTAACAGTTTTTTACTTTTTAACATTTTTTAGCGGCGAGGACAACTGGCTGCGCATTGAGGTGGTTAAGGGGGATATGATTATTATACCGGCGGGCATTTACCATCGTTTCACACTGGACAGCAAGGTCGGCTTGGTTTAGCGAGTTTATTACCTCCACTTAACATTTTTCATATTCACAGAACTACATTAAAGCGCGTCGTTATTTTATTGGTGAGCCCGTTTGGGCTCCACACAATCGGCCGGCGGACAACATGGACTGCCGCAAGGCTTATTTGCAGCATTTAGTGGAATTGGGCAAAGCCTAGTGTTTGCAGGCATATAAATACCTTTGTTATAGCTTTGAACAAGCAATTAAATACATTATTATTATTTGTAAAAAGATCGACGTGTGAACCAGTTCCAGTAGAACGAACTGGCTCGCTAAATTGAACTACTTTGCAGAGTGACGTTCATTTACATCGGTCGTCTAAAACATATGTTTTTGCATAACATTTTGCTGATCTCTTATGAACAGAAATCGATTGTCCTAAAAAAAAGTGTCTAACAATTGTATTAACATTTCGTAGAAATTATATTCCAGCCAAATAGCACTACAAGTAATTGTTATAACAGAGGCTAAAAATAACAGCTGACCTGAACAGCCCTGTTCGCTCCTCACATAACATTCATATGTGCTGTTAACTAACATAAAGCATCGATACTGTTGCGGCCTACTTAAACGCGAACCACCTTCGCTCGCGTCGAAAATTGGTGCATTTCGTATTAGCCGTTCGCGGTCACACTACTGCATTTATTTTAAATGTATAAGCAACATTTACAAAAACAACATCGAGCGGGTTGGACGCGCTGAAACGTTGGCGGATAAAAACACCGTTTAATTATTTTACAATTACGACTTTGTTATTTGTTTACAAACAAAGCTAAGCATAACGTAAAAAAATAACAAATTATGTTTAACGCGAGTGTTTTACAGGTGTAATGCAATAAATTGCAACGGTTTCCCCCAAAAGTTCGTGTATGTATGTATATAATTGAATATGCATGTGTTTGTTTTCGAGCAAGGAGTAGCAAACCAAACAAATAGCAATTAATTGTTATATTCAAAATAAACAACAAAAAAAGTGCAATATCCCTAATCAATTATATGAAAACCATAAAACTATCGCGATTTGAGTGCGTGTAAAAAAAAAAACGAGAAAAAAATCATTTTTGGAAAGCCGCAGAAGGCAGCCAAGAAGCAGAACGGCCAGCAACGACGCAGCAGCAGCAGCAGCGCGTTCTGCAAGTGTATTAGTGTTAAAGGCACACAGTGTACACGCGTTTATACATACGTGCATATGTATATATAGCAGATAAATAAGCAAGCGTATATATATATATATATATATTATATATGTATGTACAAGCGGGCGTGCAAGTAAATAAGGCAAATTAGCAAACGCAATTACAAAAAAAGTGAAATTTCTCAAAAGCACAGAAATTATACAATTTTTGTGCACTTCCTCCGTGTGGTTGAGTGTGTGTGTGTGTGTGTGTGTGTGTGTGTATGTGCGAGCGCTTGGAAAATTAGCATAAATTCCAAGAGGCTGGACGCCAGCGTCGCAGTAGCAGCAGCGCCCACAACTACAACAACAACGAGCAGCTTAACGGATTTTCTACTCATTTTTGCTCTTTGCGCGGTAAGTTTCCAAAAAAAAAAAATAAACTGTAAAATAGCATAGCGCCAAGCATAGTCATCCCATCGACACGCTGAAATTTTCATTACGTCGAAGAAAAATTCAATATGTATGCCTTGGCTTGCCAGCCAGTACGCCCGCCGTACGTCTTGCCCATCGCATCTGCTTCCCCTATCCAATTTAACCTCAACCGGTCTGCTGCTGCTGCTGCGGCCGGCGTCTGCGTCGCGTGTGCATGTCGTTATGTACATGTTTGTGTGTGTGTGTGTGTGTGTGTATGCTGTGTGTTGAGTTCTCGTACTAGTGTGCGCTTGTCACTCGGCTCGTTAAAAAAAAAACCCTCAGTCGCTGCTGCTGCTGCTGCTGCTGCTAACGTTGACGCTTACGTCGATGTCAGCGGCTTCTTCGACACTCGCGCACATTATTTTGCAAGCTGTTGGTTAGCGTTGACTTTTTTTCGTCTCTTTTTTCTATATTGACAATTTTTACAGCTTTTACCGTGTTATTTTTTTCCGGTAGGGTAGGCGCTTAGTCTTTTCTTCTTCTTCTTGGCGTTGGTGTTGTTGTTGTTGTTAGGCGTGTGGCCGTCTCAGTGACGCCATGCTTAGGCGCTCGCTTTTATTATCTGCTGCTACTTTTTGTTTTCCTTTCTCAGTTTGTCGTTTGGCTAAGTTTTTATGTTTGGTTGACGGGGTTGCCGTTATCTATATACACATTTGTGGTTGCCATATCTCAGACTGATGTGGGTGTGTGTGTGTGGGCTGGTGTTATTTAGGCTGTGTTTAGTTGGAAGGCATTGCGTGTATTGGCTTCATTATGAATGAGCACACAATGTGTGCTTTTGCACATTTGAATATTGTGTTAATGAACTTTTTGTTGCAAAAACAAAAAAAATAAAGCACACAAAGTAACACCGTTAATTAGTTAATTGCATTGCTTTTGCACTTGCAAGTTTCGTTAAGTGACCCTTAACGCACACACGCACACACAGACATACGCACGCATGCACTTGTTCGTTCGTCCAGCCTCACTCTCTCGCTCTACTACCTAGCCCCCTTCCACTCGCATGCTCACTCGCTCGCTCTCTATAGCTCTTTCCCTCTCTTGAGCCAACGAACGCATTTGGCAATAGCACGAAAAGTTGCATGCTCCAAAATACGCACACACACATACAAGCAATTCCCCTTGCTCGCTCTCTCTCACACTTGGCGCTTAATATGCTGCCTGCTCACACACACACACGCATGCACGCACCAGACTGTCGTTAGTTTTAAACTTATTTTTGGCGTTCTTTATGTGCTTGCATTCTCGCCGTCTCGTCTCGATGACGACCCAGACCCGCATTTTCTAGTCGTTCCGTTGAGCTGTGCGTGTGTGTGTGTGTGTCAGTGTTTGTGTACGTGTACGTGTATCGGTGTCGGTATCGGTATCGTGCCTTGTATCAGTGTGTGTGTGTGTGTGTGTGTGTGAGAGTTAGTATTGAATATTTCTGAGCGGGGGTAGCAGCCGAAATTTCCATCGTTCAGTTTGTGCAAGTGGAGCGCACCTGTTTACCAGCCACACACACACACACAGGTATACATCACCTGGAGCTAACGACAAGAACAAGAAGACAAAACTAATGCAATAATTTTCCTATTTAGGTTATAAAGATTTTTCTTCTTCTGCCCCAAACTACTCAACACTTGCATTGCAGTTCCGCTCTTTGGCTCTTGGGTGGAGCTGCATTCCCGGGCCGCAGGTCTCATATCGAGCTGCCAATCACGGCTCTATGCACTTCTCAATGCTGCACTTGTTATACACTAACCGAAAAGCCAATACGGGTATGATGCACACACGGATGCTCTCCCTTCAATACGTTTTTCATTTTTGGGTAGCTTCAATTTTCAAGCCAGATTTTTAGTTTTGAATAATTTTGTTTCCCTTTCAGCTGTTTTTTTTTATTGTAGTCTATATAGAGCATTTCGCAGTCGGCTGCAACTATGCATTTGATTTCTATTTCGTTTGCTGCAAATGCAAACGAATTGTTGAAATAACACACACACACATAAATACGATACTTGCACGCACACACATACATGCATACACAAGCTCTCTATGTGCAGAGGCTTACAACAACAACAAAAACAAGAACAAGCAACTGCAGTTTAAAGCGCAACTAAAACTAAACAGAGAGTAGCGCCTGTAGGTACCGTTTGTAGGTAGGAGGGGGGGGTTGTGGGGGTAGGCTGTTTTGGGTTGTATTTTAGTGCATATGCCAGCATGTGTATGTGTATGGGTGCATTTCTATGTGTGTTGAGTGGATTTTATATCAAAAGTACAGTCGCTTAGCGATGTTGTTGTATTTCATAGTTTTATATGCATGATGAATGCGTGTGTGTGTGTGTGTGTGTGTGTGTGTGAGTACATAAATTGCATGCTCATGCTTCAATAGTTGCATGTAGCGATGCTTCGTCAAGTTACAAATACACACACACACACACACCTACACCCACACACACACACACACACGTATGTACGAAGCTAAGCCTAAGCACCAAACATTGTTGACAACTAAAACAAAAGCCAAAGCGGGAGAAACAGTTACACAAAAACCATTGCGATCCATTTAGTGATTACATATTCAAGCGCTAGAGCGAGAGAGCGTGATTAACAGAGAGCTGCCGGACAGCAACAAGATTTAGTATTGACTCTCTCCATGCCACCCATGCATAAGGTGGCCACATGCATACATATGTAAATGTGTGTGTGTGTGTGTGTGTCTGTCTGGTAAGACTTCCTCGCGCCTGGTGGCAACCACAAACTTAATTGCACACCAATCGTTTGTCTTTCGTTCACTTTTATCGATAACAAGTGTCAACAATTGCGCAGCGTTTAGTCACGATCAGGCCAGATCGCCCGAAAGTCAAGAGCAGGGGGGCAACTTGTCGCCGTTTGCTCTGCAACAGTGTTGCAAAGGGTCACTGGTGTGGCTACGGACACAGTGCTGCCAAGCGCTGAATTTATTGTTGACTTTTTTTCTGCTGTGTTTTTTATGGCCTTTATTTTTTTTTTTTTGTGTGCGCTTCGCTTAACTCTGCCAAGGCGCGAGGAGAACGCGCTGCTGCTGCTGCGCTGTGCGTGTAAGCGAGGCGGCATGCTAACGTGGGTGGTGCGACCTGGCTGGGGAGTGCGCGGGGTGGGTGTGTGGGGGAGGGAGGGGGGGAGGGGCTGTTAGGGCGTTGGGCAGCCCGTTTGAGTGGGTTGATTTTGGCTGCTGTCGCGTGTTGGCGAAAAAATCGATTAAAAGACATGAATATATATCTTGGTATATAAATATGCTTTAATTTTGGGCTTTTACACAAAAGTGCTAAAAGCAGCAAAAGCATTGTTGAAAATTTGTGTGATAAAAGCAGGCAGCTTCTGGATAAGTTGAGCACGGACGGACGAACCGCTGTCTCCAAAACTGTATGTATCGAAAGTTTTTTTTGGCAGCCATGCAACAACAACAAAGGCAAACTAAAGCCAGCGATGGCTTCTGCATTAGCTGAATGGGGAGGGGGAGGGGGGTGGTTGCTCCCCAGGTGTTGCAGTAGTTGTTGTTGTTGTTGTTGTTGCTGTTGTTGTTTTTTGTGTGTATTTGGTAGCATTTGTGGCGTTAGTTGAAATGCAGACGTTTTTGCATTGTTGTGTAGTGGGTGGCTCTGTGGCTGTAAAGTGGCCCGAAACTCGGCCCACACATACAGCCACACAACAACACACCAGCACACACACACACAGAGAGAGAGAGAGAGAGAGAGAGAGAGAGAGAGAGAGAGAGAGAGACCGACACCCACTCACGCACACAGACGTCGATGCAGGGTACAGCTGTGTACATGTGTACATAAAATACACACACACACAGTCGCATGCAAAAGCGGATACAGATAGAGATACATATACAAAACAGGGTTCTTTGTGGAAGGGGGCTGGGTGGTTGGGGGCTTGGGCTGACTGTCGCTGGGCCTGGCCGAACTGCTGACGCTTCCTTCCTCGCATAGTTCAAGTATGCATATAATATCCGGGACTCGGGACTGTCGGTGCCGAAAACGAAGCAGCTGCAATACCACTGGGATTTGAGGGGTGTTAGCGTGGTGCAAGAGGGAGCGTGGGGCGGTGGAAGGATAACAGCATCCGACAGAGGCCTACGGCGACAGCGACGCGAACAGCATTGCAGCTGATGGTTGGGCGGGGCGGAGCTGGGTGCGATGGGCTGTGCTTGAGTGGGTTTTGATGCGGCGGGGAGGGGAGGGGGGTGCGTAGGGAACGCTGGTCGTTGTCCCTTTTTGGTTTTTGCAGTAGCACAAATGTGTCGCGAGTCGAGTCGAGTGGCGGGGCGTGGCAGGAGCAGCAGCAGGAGCAGGAGCACCCACCTAGCCACAGGCCGCGTTTAGTGGGTGGATTCGGGTGGTTGCAATAGTTGCGTAATCTATGCGATGATATGCCCATTCTAGCTGTGTGCGTGTGTGCTTGAACTACGACCCGTGGGCGGTTATAACGATTGTATAGACTACGGCCCGGCCAGGGCCCAGATCAGGGCCCTCCCAGCCCGGCTCTCCATTGAAAGGGGCTGGGAGACAGATTGTTTGTATGGTTAGACTGCGCCTGGCTCGGCTCTATGGTTGGCTTAGAAACGCAACAACAGCAACGACAACTACAACAAAATCCATACAGAAATGCAAATTCCGAATTGTAATGCACACAAATCCGAAATTTCTGCTGCAGTTTTCGGTACACACACACACACACACACACACACACTCGCACACAGACATGCATGGGAAGCCTGTGAAAGTGAAGGGGGTGGTACTAACACACACACACACCTAAGTACATGTATTTGTATGTATGCATGTGTAAGTTGCAACACGGTTCGAATCAAATAGTTTGCACTTCCAATCGAAATCGAATTTTCCAACACTGTAATATAACTTTCAAATCAGTTTGCCGAAATAACGGCATACAATTGTTCTGTTCTTATGTGG